TGCAGATATTTTATTTACAAAGTGTGCAGTTTACAAGTGTACAAATTTTGGATTCTGTGTATAAATATGTCAGTTGTGATGGACGATGTATAATTATGAAAGTTTAATTGTTCAGGCTGAATATAGCCTGCGGGAAAAAACTGTTCTTGTGCCTGTCTGTTCTGGTGGTCTGTGCTCTGTAGCGCCGACCAGAAGGCAACAGTTCGAAGAGAAAGTGGGCTGGGTGTGAGGGGTCCAAGGTGATTCTCTTAGCCCTTTTCCTCACTCTGGAGGTGTAAAGATCTTACAGATCTTTTGCAACCTGTTTGCTACCTCGTTTAAAACTCAAGTCTATTTCAGGAAACAAAAGTTGCTGCTCCAGCTTTTGTGGAACCACAAATGACCTCAAATTGTGGTGCCACATGTAACGACTGTGAAACATTCAACCACATTTAAAATGTATGCATTTTGGACAGTCACACAAATGCTCAAACGCTGTGTTTGGTTTCAGTATCTTGGGGAAACAATTAACTGTCAAACAGTGTCAGCAAATGCATTAAATGTGTGACGATGCAGTATGTTTCAGAATACTTAATGTGCTCATTGCATGCTGTACTTGTCCAAAGAATGTTATTACAGTTTTTCTCAATTGATTTGACACATTTCTCCAAACTCAGGTCACCGTTCTCAAAACAGTTAACACAGTGATTTGAATACTTTGTAATTTTCCTAAACAGATTGAACGTTTTCATTCATTTCATACAAAATGATAGCAGAGTAGAACTGTTTCAGCAGCTCCTGTGGCAGGTTGAATTTCCTCAGCTGGCGAAGGAAATACAACCTCTGCTGGGCCTTTTTAACAGTGGAGTCAATGTGAGTGTCCCACTTCAGATCCTGAGAGATGGTGGTTCCCAGGAATCTGAATGACTCCACTGCAGCCACAGTGCTGTTCATGATGGTGAGTGGGGGGAGTGCAGTTGGGTTCCTTCTGAAGTCCACGATCATCACCACAATTTTGAGCGTGTTAAGCTCCAGATTGTTAAGACTGCACCAGACAGCCAGCTCTTTAACCTCCTGTCTGTAAACAGACTCATCTCCGCCCTTGATGAGGCCGATTACTGTAGTGTCGTCCGCAAACTTCAGGAGCTTGAAAGAGGGGTCCTTTGAAGTGCAGTCATTCGTGTAGAGAGAGAAGAGCAGTGGGGAGAGAACACAACCCTGAGGGATGCCAGTGCTGATGATGATAGACTTGGATGTGAGTTTGCCCAGCCTTACTAGCTGCTGCCTGTCTGTCAGGAAGCTGGTGATCCACTGATAGATGGAGGTGGGCACAGAGAGCTGTGTGAGTTTGTCAGAGAGACGGTCAGGCATGATGGTATTGATTTTGTATTTACTATTTAATATTGTGTGCCACGCCCACTGGAGTCTGATCAACAGGTCACGCATGTGCTGATAGCTCTGAAGTAAACTAAGCCTGAAACATGATCTACTCTGGAGCAGGTTATTTTCAGAGAGTAAGTTGCTATGGCTACTTACATATCCTGAGAGTTACCTCAGTTTTAGGAACCGAAAGCTGAGTTTATCTGCTTGCTGGAAAGTCTCAAAATACACAAACACAAATCCAAGATGACGATTTGCAAATGCACATTCAACAAACAATTTGTGAATGTAAAACATTCAAAACTTTGTTTGCTTACTTGTATATGTGTTTTGCATTCATGACACACATTTTCTGAAAGGAAATTTCGTTTTTGGATTGTAGCAAAGTGATGGTTACTTCCAGGGATTCACAAGAAGAAATCTGGAAACTTTTACCCAGACTAATAATTTCAGACTTAAAGGAGTAATTCACTTCCAGAATGAAAATCCTGTCATCATTTACTCTCCCTCCAAATATGCATGAGTTTCTTTCTTCTGTTGAACACAATTTTTTTTTTTTTGAAAAATTCCCAAAATCGATGAGCCCCATTGACTTCCATATTAGGAAAAAAATACTATGGAAGTCAATGGTGCCCATCAACTGTTCGGATTTTTCAAAATATCTTCTTTTGTGTTCAACAGAATAAAGAAACTCATACAGGTTTGGAACAAGTGGAGGGAGAGTAAATGAAGACAGGATTTTCATTCTGGAAGTGAACTACTCCTTTAAGAAGCAAAAACAAAACAAATAAACCAATTCAGTTCATCAAACTTTAAAACACGGGACCTCAGAACACTGTGATGACTGTTGACTGATCATCCGAGTCACCGAGTCATTTGAGACCTCAAAGTGAAACCATGTAAAGCAGTCAGTTAATTTTTCTGTACTCCTTTTTAATGGCTAAATTAAATGTGTGTGTAGTAAATGAAACCGCATTTTGGTAGGTACTAACCATTGCATACTGGGAACAGCCCACACCCCGCTTTGGAGAGGCTTTAACCCATTTGTTTAACCATCACTATTTTGATCCTTGTCAAAGATCTTTTCGTTTACCAGTGGTGTTAATGTTGTGACTGATCAGTGTAAGTGCATAACATTTGGTGAAATTTCTTCAAATGCACTGAAACATTTGCTCTCTATAATGTCCTAATATGTATTTGTCACGCCCCTGGACTGTCTGTGTGTGTTTTCCTCCCCATGTGATCCCTGTGACCTAGTTTCTCCCTCGTGATGATTGTGTGTTAAGCCCTATTCGCACGGGATTAGTATTACCTGGTGATCTCCAGTCATTTGTAATAATCGTGGAGGTTGTCTGTGATCTTAATCCCGTGCGAATCGGCCATGTCTGTAATTTGTAAAGTAAAAATTCCCCCGCAAATGACCTACCATATTTCGCCGAACACCGAGGTCCTGTGATAATATTAGTCCCGTGCGAATCGGCATCTCCGTGATTCGGCCAGCATTTGGCGGGTCGCATATCATTTTTCGAGCTTTTTGTTTGCTGTGCGCCTTTTTATCCATCTTTCGCGAAGAATGGAGCTGCGTTGGAGTGTTTGATAGTATTTTGGGTGCTGTCATAACGCTACAACTATACAATTTGCAGAAAGAGAAAGCTGAAAAGGTTTTGAGGTTAATGTGTTACAAATAAATCTAGCATAAAGCTTGAGATATTATTTTAACCTGGTGAAATGTAAATGACACAGCGCACGAAACTATATTAGTTTCTTTTTTTTTAAATCCATCTGGACCATAGAACGGGACTCTCAAAGCCTTGACATCCGGGTATCTGGGAGATAAGTCAGTAAATTCGAGTAAAATCGCAGGCTTCGCTTATCCCGTGCAAATGCACCACACGAAATTCAGATGTGGGGGGTTAATTTCAAAATCACACAATGATAATACTAATCCCCAGATAATACTAATCCCGTGCGAATAGGGCTTTAGTCTACTTATAGTGCGTCCGAAACCGCCTACTTCTCTACTATATAATAGGCAAAAAGCAGTAGCCGAGCGAATAAGTATGTCCGAAACCTCAGTATTCATAAAAGAGTAGTCGAGAAGTTCCCGGATGTCCTACTGCTTCTGCCCAGCTTCTTCAGTGCTCGCCGATGGATACTTTTCTATCCCAGGAGGCCACGCGAGAGGATACATCATAAAGAAGAAGAGGAAAGGTCATAATCGAACATGGCAGAACATTTGGATGAGGGTGTTTACAAATGTACGTATTACAAACCAAAAACACGGTTCCTTATTTTAAATTCGCATTTGTTGAACTACTTTAGAGCAAATTGTTGAAAGTGTAAAGATGCTAAATGGTATAGTATAGTTGTGATGTTGCTGTAAAAACAAGTTTTATTATGTATAGCTAACAGGGAGGCTCCAGGAAGCACACGTACATCTCCAAAGTAGATTTACATACATTTTAAACCATATACATCTTAATGTATTTAAATTATGCATGAATGTTCCCAAACACTATGACAGTGCGATCTCTGTGTGAGATAATGTGATTGTCATGTTTCTATAAAAATATAAAATACATGTTTGTATTAAAGTAAAAATGGATGATAAATACACCTTTCGTATGGAATTAAATAGCAAGCACTTTGAGTGTCTTCTTCATCGTATTTATTTTCATATAAAAGCAACAGAACTGAGTGTGTGTAACGCGAGCCTTTGATCTCGTTGGTATCTGTTCCACTTCTAGAGGTCAGAACTGTCCGTCTTGCCTGCGCTTATTTCACTCCTCCCCTCACTGCAGCTGCCTACTCTCTCGACTGCAAGCGGCTGCTCTCGTTGACTGCCGTCTGTAGCCGTGCTTCAAGTCGAACGCACCTATTGTCAACTGCTGGAAATAGAGTCATCTGCGTCCATTTCCGTCACACGCTTGAGGTATTCAGCCAATCACAACACACTGGATAGCTGGCCAATCAGAGCACACCTCGCTTTTCAGACCGATGAGCTTTGTAAAAACCGACGCGTTTCAGAAAGGCGGAGCACAGAGGAGAAACAATAATTTACAGTATGTGGAAAATAATGTGTTTTTTGGACCTTAAACCGCATAAACGCATTGCATTACACCAAATACACAAAATAATGTTATTTTTAGCAACATCATATGACCCCTTTAATATTCAGTCTCTCCTCTATCTATGTGCCAATTTTCACAACTTTCAACCAAATGGTTCTATGAACTGCCATAGACTTCCTTTCAAAAATAATAATAAGAAGAAAAATGTAGCTGAAAGGCATCAGTTCGGGGCCAAAGCACTGCAAGCCCATCAAATACAGCTTGTGACTGCAGGTTCAACTTGCATTTAATTTGCCTCCAAAATATGTGTCTTTGTAATGTAAATGTATTCTGTAACACAGAGGAGGAGCCTGAGAATCTGACAGATACAAAGAGTGTTTGTGTCAGACTGAAGAACACACACGGTGAGTTCTTGCTTTATTCTTCATTTACAACACAGATAAAAAAAACGATCATCTGATTAGAGACTGAGGAGATGGCAGTAAGTTCATCAATAACTCTACATAACTAGAGGTGGCTTTAGCTTTCGTTTAGTGGGATGTTCATCTTTTTCTCTCTCTGTCTCTGTAGATGTTGGTGTTTTTAGCGGCTCTTCTCTCTACTGTTCTGATGAGCGAATGCCATCAGAGTGTAAACAAGCCGGTCGACTGTTCTGACCTTTATAAATCAGGACAAACAGTCAGTAAGACTTATGCCATCTATCCAGCAGGTAACGCTCCGATCTGGGTTTACTGTGAGATGATCTCAAATAGGAAAATTCCATACAAAGGAGGATGGACGGTATGAATGTGACTTTAGATCATTAAACACACATCAGCACATTCATTATGAATCATATATTCTCTATAAACCCATCACAGGTGATTCAGAGGAGAATGGACGGCAGTGTGAATTTCTATCGGCCGTGGGATCAGTACAAGAGAGGATTTGGGAATGTGGAGGGAGAATACTGGCTGGGTAAGATCTCACAGCGTGTGTGTGTTCACGAGTTCACACTTACATATAATAAATAGAGTAAAGGTTATGTGTATTTGGCGTGCTGTCTGAGGGGAGGGCTCCGAGCTCAGAATTTGGCCCGAACCCAGAGTCCAGAGTACCCCCCCCCCCCCCCCCCCCGGGGGGG